TTCAAACATTACAAATCAGGAGCAGGGCAAACACGGAGCTCTAAAGCATCAGAGGTGGGATCAGGTGCCATGGAGAAGTGAGCATCCCCTGCCGACCGGTCACACCCGCCGTTACTCTGTCCACCCTTTTTAGTCAATGTTGCCACGGTTACCAAATTAGATCTTTTATGTGTGTGAAATAATTTCAAAATGCCACTCCTTTTACAGTTTTTTGTTTAATTTTAAAAAACTTCAGTAATTCTGTATGAGTAACATTTTTTTAAAGTGTTCCAAGTCCAGGTGCTACTTCCTCTTCCATCATTATAAAATATAACCACTTAATTTTATCCCATCAGAGTCCAACAAGAGGCTTAGTCTGACATACTATTATGGTTTTTTTTCTCCCCTCCTTTTTTTTAAATTATAAATTCATTTGATTGAAATGAGGTCTAACATATTTCCAACCCAATTTTTTAACTTTGAAAATGTGTGCATGAAATTTTCGCAGCTTTTTGACTGATTGTGTTATAGTTGATTTATCATTTTCTTTCTTTGTGTTTGGGGTATTGTTGCTGTTGTTGGTGTATTGTTCTTATCTTTTTTATTAGTTTTCCCCCTTTCTATATGTACATGTATATTTTTAAACAAAAAACATGTTGACAAAAGAAAGAGAATCGATGAGAATAGCTAGTGTTCGAGGTTGAGATTGTTTGGTTATCTCTCTTAGATCTCCCAGAAGTCTCGATACTTAAACGGCTGATGTTGTTATGTTTGGACTTAAAATAAATATGATTGTGAACAAAGCGAAAAAGTTAAACAAGAGGTGAAAGCCGTCAGGGTTCATATGAAAATTATATGCATGAATTACAAATTCAACTCCCTCCTTGGCTTCAAACCTTACAAGAGGGTCAAATTTTCGACAAAACTATTTTTAAGGATGTTGACTTTTGTGCATTATTGTGTAAAAGGTTTGAACTCATGTTGGCCTTCTTGAGGCAACTAAATCTGAGATTTTCCCTGTTTATATTTACTCAGCAATTAAATTTACATTGAATTCTGAACTCATTTTCTTGTTATAAACACATCTCAATTAAATTTTTCTTTAAATTTTTTCTTCAACTTATCATTTATATTGTTCTCTTATGCCCAATGTTTGTAGTATATTTTTAAAACAAGATGCTATTTTCTGTAGAAAATGACCAGTATTGTACATTGTATTTGACTGTGACTCACAGGTTATTCACTGAGCATCGGGAAATACATGTATGACCGCACGAGGTCTTTGCGTGGTAAAGCGGACCGAAACTTGCGAGGTCCTCATCCGCGAAAAGACCGAGGCGGGCATATTTCCCGATATTCAGTCAATAACCTTTTCATTACAAATTTTAATAGCACTAATACATTCTTTTTCATATGAAAGGAATCACTCTAAATCATTCTTACAACATTTAAGTAGCTGTCAGTTCAACGGATATTTGTGACGTTGTGACGTCAAATGTACATGTACGAGGGTTATCAAAAAGTTCGTGGACTGATGCGATAAAATTAATACTATGTAGTCTGTGCTTACAAAATTTACAACAAAAGTTTAAGAAATGTTGAAAATTTTAGCTTGATACGTTGATGATTTGCCAAATTATTATAAAATAAAAAAGACATTATACAATACAATATTTATTGGCGCAAACACAATTACAATAATTGGCAAAGGCACAACATACAAGAATCATCAATTGTTCATACATTTAAACAATATTCTAGAATGTGAAGATATGCATAAATCATACATTCATTTGTACAATAATTATGTAATACAAGCATTTCTAGATATATGACATTTTTTAATAAATGAGTGTGTTATTTTCAATAGTTCAGGGCATTGGCTGTTAAAGCAGAGCTTAACTTTTTTAGTATAAGATATATTTGATATTTTCCCTTGAAAACAATTCAACAAATTTCTTTCAAAAGTTAACCTATGATTATTGCATTTTTGGCAGCTGAATAGAAAATGAAATTCATCTTCAATCTCTCCTGTGTTGCAAATATTACAAAATCTTTTATCTGTGGGTATAGACAAATGTCTTCCTTTTTCTATGGCAAGATAATCTGCACTAAGTCTCAACCTCCTAATAATTGATCTCTCTGCTCTTTTTTAATATCACCCGGCGCTGTCGCCATTTGGTTTCATGACGTCCGACAACGTCATGCTTCTAATTGTCCGCTTCCTCTACCTCACACAATTATTTCGATAAGATTTCTTGGAGTTAACTTATGATTTGATCCCGTCTTGTTAATCTGACTTTACAATGTCATGAACAGCTGCTTTCAATGTATATAATATTGTAAATGGATCTATACATAGGGAAAGATCCTCACATGAGTATGCCAGTATATTGTGTTTGTCGGAGTTCAATTTCTAGAACACATGATCAACGTCACTTTTCGACGTGATTGACTTTTGACACCCTGTCTACAAATGGACATTAACTGTGCATCTCTCATCCCTCTGAATTTCTTCGGCATTTAAAAACAAGTACTCTTGATGCATTTTATTTATCTGCAGCCCGTTTAAACATTTCTTAGGTCTAAACCAGTTTTTCCAGGGGCTAAACTTTATAGAATATTGGAAAGAGAAACCCCTACCCCATTTTGACGTCATTTTCAAGCCCTTTATTGTTTGGACACTCCATATAAAATTTACGATAAAATTTCATAGAACTTACAGAATGAGGAAAAACTTGCAAATTTTATGGAACAATTAATGTAATACCACTTGCCTGAATTAACGGGATTTTTTTATGACAAATACTCATATCAAAAGAAATTTTCTGAGTTACACTCAGATAGATAAAAAACGTCATGTTCAAGGTTGCGCCACATGTACATACCATTGCTTACAAAAATATTAACAATTTGTTAAAAAATAAAACTTATGATTTATTATTTATTCTGTAGATAGAAAAGATGATGCTAACTAAATGTTTTAAAATTCATTGATGTACTTAAAGCGGTTTTAATTTTATGTCGCTAGTCCACGAACTTTTTGATAACCCCTCGTATGTGTTAACATTAAATATGGAGAGACGGGAAAAGATTTTGGGACATCAGTTTTTCCTTGGCAACAGCGCGGGGTAATATGGCCATGTTAATGCCCGGGTACTCTGTGTACCATCTATTGAGAAATATATTAAATATAGCCGTCACGGTAGCTCAGTCGGTAGAGCGCTCGCTCCATGATCGGAAGGTCGTGTGTTCGAATCACGGCCGCGACTGACATAAATCGATAAAAAATAGTTAGCAATTGTTCCTTCGCCAAGCGCTCGGTACTTTGAAGTGAAAGTTGCGTGTCCTTCGGTCACGGTAGGCGTTGGCACGATAAAGATCCCTTACTGCTCAATGGCCCTGAGTGCCGAGTAAAGGTCTAAATTTGAAGCCCTTCCCCGGTATATGGTGACGTCTCTATATGAGTGAAAAATTCTCGAACGCGACGTAAAACAACATACAATTAACATACAATCATAGACTTAAATGTATCCTGTAAAAATTCTAAAGCAGATTCAAAGCAACAATGTCAAGTGGTATATTTTAAGCAGTTTAGATTATATGTACAAACACAATATCAAAACCTATTGCTTACAAAGATAATTTTTTTCTATATCCTCTACTGTTACCACTTCGTACACTTGGTAACGTTACTAAACTTTAAGTAAAAGATCAACATTAATAATTATTTAAATGATGTCATTACTCTTCAGGAAATACACATATACATGGTTTTACAAATTCTATAGGCGCCTTTTTGTAGTTTGTATAAAAAATAAGATACTACAGCTGATCGTTAAGGTGTCGAGCAACAGACCGTTAGATTAAGCACCTAATCCTTCCTTTATGCATTCTGTTTTTACATATTTTGTAGAAACTTTTCATTCATGTATTTGTTTATGATTAAAGACTTTTTCTGTCTTAATGTCAGTGTTGGAAGGGTAGGAGACTTGTCAGTAGTCAATGGCCCTCATCTACATGTAGCTATCCCTTCTGCATCAACACATAGGGGACGGTTCATGGCTGTTCTCAAATGAAAGAGCTAGGTGCCTCGGTGTATGTTATTTTGAAAATCTCCATCGTAGGTCACAGCACTGGAAAGAGTTTTTAAATTTTACTTAGAGGGACCCCACCATCTCTCTAAAAAGGGCTGCAGGTATGATAAAAATTTTAAAAGGTCAATCTTGGAAGGTAGATCGGAAGAAGTAGTGGAGTTTTCTTGCTTATTCTTCAAATGTCGTTGGAGTGCTGGCACTTGCTTAAATGCAAGGCCACTAGTTTGACATTTTGGCCATTTTGGCTTTTTGGTAATCCAGCATCTTCAACATCAACATTCAGCTGCCTACATTCAGATACTTTTGCTTATTGAAGTGAAAATTTCAACAATACATTGTAACAGATATCGACGGGGTTACCATTTCAGGTGCGTGGTACTTTTCACTAAAGAATATCAGAAGACTGGGAAAACTTTAATATAAATTTATTTCCTATTCAAATTAAATCCTCGTTTAAATATCACCAATTTTTAATAAAGATCTTGTCAAATTTTACTACATCTTAAAGTGATGGTTGTTACCAAGCCGTCTTTTCTCAAAAGCATCAAACTTCATTATTTTCAAGATTGATTGATTGTATGTTGTTTTACGTCCCGTTCGAGAATTTTTCACTCATATAGAGACGTCACCATATACCGGTGAAGGGCTTCCAATTTTGACCTTTACTCTGCACTCAGGGCCATTGAGCAGTGAGGGATCTTTATCGTGCCAACGCCTGCCGTGATACCGGGCCTCGGTTTAAGTCAGTCGCGGCCCAGATTCGAACGACCTCCCGATCACGAAGCGAGCGCTCTACAGACTGAGCTACCGTGAACGGTCTATTTTCAAGATAGTTTATGTTGAAAATAAAGAAATTTAGTACCACAAGCATAATAAATTAATAAATATGTAATAACACTTTATTTCAATGTATATTGTGCACAGTGTAATATAATATGAAAAAAAGGTTTTTGAAACAAAATCATTGAATCATAAAGTTAATTATTGCTGTGTCTCCGATATGTAGCACCATGAATATACGATTGATTTTAATGTTCATTCTACTGGCAAATGTGGAAGACATTTTTCCCCCTTTATTTAATCTCATTTCTTTTTAATTTTCATGGAAAGAATTAATCGTAGAACAAACATCCCGTCCACAATTCTTACTGTATTTTCTTATAGTGAATGAAAGTTATGGTCTTTTGTTTAACTTTAACATCTTTTTTATTCTCAATTTCTGATACTTTCTGGAGAAGAATCACTTGTTGTTATACTTTATCAACGACAATGTTTATTTTTTTTTTACTTTCAGACAACTCTCTTAATAAGAAACAAAAATCCCTGACAGGATTTTGGGAAACACCATAACAAATAAAGGTTAGTAGAGTCTGGGCAAGAAACACTTGCCCAATTCATGAATCAAACAGATTCGTACAAAGAGATCCCTTTGGTCGTAACTTTCTCCATCTTTTTAAAAGTCCCTTTGTCAATTTTTGAACTCTGTTTTGTTGTTTTTCTGTCGATGTTTGTGATATCGTTGATGATTGTGATATCGTTGATGTTTGTGATATCGTTGATGATTGTGGTTGAAGGCGAGCTTGTCGCACAATGCCTACTAATAGATCATCTACGTTATGATTCAAGACGAGCGATAACTCAACATACTTGCACCCAAATCTATTGGCCAGTTTTTCACCATCTGGAAGACAAAGTATATGATTGCTGACATGGATGCATAGGAAAAAGAATGTAAATTTCAGTGGTTATCGAAAAAATATAATATATTGAAGAAATGCTTTGGAAGAATTTTATTTTTGGTAAGCATTTTTTATTCTTTTTGTGTTTCAAACAATTAATTATATCCCAAAATATTAGATAATCTTACGAAAACTTTAAAAGAGTTTTTAATTAAAGCAAATTTCTTACAAATTCTTCCTCGACCTTCACAACAGTACAGCCAAGACTTTTCTCCGAAATGTATATACACATGTTCAAAAACACTTTCATGAAAATACGTACCTTTTGTAAAAATGGCACGCTTTCTGGCCAGATCAACTTTGTTAGCAACTAGAATGACTGGTTTCCTGTAATGTTTGTTGATCTCTCCAACAATTTTGCCAGCGTACCTGAATGACTCAACATCAACTACCGAGTACATTACTACTATGACATCCATGTATGCGCATGCTCTGATATTCTGAAATTTGTAAAACATTTTTTCAGGTAAGTATTTTAACAGTGCAGTGTATCGATTTTGTTTAAGTTTTTCTGGGTCAAAATAAATTCACATACTGGTGTAAATATTCATAACTTTTGCTATTTTGGGACGTCTGTCAATAAGATATATTGATCATAAAAGAATTTTTAAAACAAGTAATGCAAAATTGAACTCTTTTGAATTAAAGATTAAAACAACCCAGAGAAATCGGGTTTATTTAGCTCGGTAAAGAAAGCTTTTGTCTCTAGAGAATGTTTCTCATCCAGAAAAATTAATACTGTATTAAAATACATGTACATGAAAACAAAACATAATCAACTTTTGTTTTAAAAAATGCAATCTAGCCTTACCTCCAAAGTAATTTGTTCAACAAAAATAAGTGATGTTTCTGTGCCATCGAGTGAAACACAAATTTCGTTGTCCTCGGTATTACTTTCTGTTAAAAAAAATTAAAAAAAAAAACAAAAAAAAAAAAAAAAAAAAACATTTAGACAAATACTGATTAACGACTCAGTCATTAAATTTTGATAAACTGATTTCATCTCATTTATGGTGTTAATTTACCTGTCATGTCACCCCATATATCCTCAGTATCAGTAAACATATGGAGCAATGAGTGCTTTCCAACATCATTATCGCCAAGGACTGAGACGTGAAAAATTTCAGAAAGAGTCAAACTGTTGCATCGCGAGCTAATTAGACTTTGGCTGTATATGTCCAGAAAGTTATCATTGCTTTCACTCATGCAGCTAGAAGAGGTTCCACAACTGATATTACTGTTCCTCCTTATATCTTGGTCTCTGAAGCTTCTTCGTGGAACAGTTAAGGAGTTCCCAAACTTTGAAGCTGCAAAGTCTTCTGGATGGACATAGTCCAGAAAATTGTGCACAGTTCTTGATTTTTTCATTTTCCTTAAGACCTATTAAATTATTTTTTTCTCAAAAAAATCACACGGATAAAACTTCTTCCACAAAAAATCCTTTCTCCAAGTAGTCTAGCAGATCATATCATGATCTTTATTGTGAAATGACAACATCATGAACTGCACCTTTAAATATAGTTCTTACCGATTTATGCCATAAGCCTTGAAACATAGTAAACAATTTGTTGTCATCCGTTAACCAATCAGCACTTCCGTTGTTTGCAGTCATCAGTCGTATGTTGATAAGTAACCATAGCAATATGTCGCTATTTTAGATATCGATCTATTCTTACATGAATGAACTTAAGGAGTACAGCTGCTTTGCGCATTTTGAAATATTAAACATTAATGATGTGTTTCCTTTTTTAAAAACTTGGTGATTAAACGCTAATTTATAGTAGCAACTAAAACATCTGGGCAACAGACAAAACTCATAAAAATATTCTTAGTCGGTTACGAAATTTTATGAAAAAAGGAGAAATCTCTCCGTCTTGAACGATAAATCCTTAAAAGGGAAGGAGAAATACATATACTGGAATTGTAGCATGCTTAATATAATTAATATTTTGAAAGTGAAAGTATAGTGCAAAATATAGTTTTGTAAGTTTCTTTTTAGGAATTTGAAGCTGTTGATATCTCAAATAGAAACGATATTATGAAATTTATAATCGAATTTGATTTTACAAAATCAACATTAGAGAATTTGCTTAAAAATGAAATTCAGGTCGTTACATTGCTAAATCAGAGAAAATTATTTATTTGAGAGAAATAATTTTCGCAGGATACGTTTTTTGAAGTGAGTAATAGTGAGTTTTTTTTTTTGAAAATTAATGAAAAGAGATAGGAAATTTAAAAAAAAAACTTTGTATGCTGAAATTATTTTAAGACAAACTGGATTTGGAAAAACGTCAAATTATGTCGGCTCTATTTGAAATGCATCAAATTGTTGGACAGACAACTTACAAGCAATTTCTTGTATTATTTTTCCCTTTCAAAATATTTACAAGCATGTTTCAATCTCAGTTTCTCCAAATCATGCGACATGTTCTCTACATGTTTTGAAATGATCCCCTGTCGTGCTTTCCTGGACGTTTCGGTTCTAAACATTTCAACAAAATATAATAAATTTCATCAGAGAATGACATATTGTCATCACATAATTAAGTGTCATCATATAATGAAGTAACAGAATTTGGTGAAGTGTAGAATGAAATATGGAGATAACAAACAGTATTCAAGCTCATAAGTCCATTCAAACAATACAGATCAGGAGCAGAGCAAGCACGGACCTCTCAAACATCAAAGGTGGGATCAGTTACCATGGAGGAGTGAGCATCCCCTGTCTACCGGTCACATCCGCCGTGTGCTCCTTGTCATGATCAGGAAAAATAGAAAAATCCGTATACAATTCAGTGTATAAATAATGGCCTTACAATTAGTATGAAAAACATCAGTCAGCATTTGACTTAATGATAGATTGTAAGGTCATTGTATCGACCACAGAACTTGCGAAATGATCACTTTAAACGATACTATTGATATTCCTGTTTCATCAACTTGTTTGTTAATAGCTTGCCTCGTTTTAGAAATTGTTCGTACGTATAGCATGCTCTTGTGTATCGAATCAACTGAGAGACATAAACTCCATATGCAGGTGATAAGGGTATATTGCTACATAAGTAAGGGGAGTTTACGATTGAAAAGTTGAAGTCATCACGTTTATCATAAAACTTCGTTGTACGGTTACCATTAACGTCTTTTTCTAGTAAAATATCCAAATATGAAACAAATGCGCAGACTCTATGGTATCTTTTATTTCAAGCTCACTGGGATATATCGAGTCGACATACATGTAAGAATGGAAATAACTATAATTGTTAATTCATAAATCGTCGTCGATATATCTAAATGTCGAGTTGAAGGCCACAGCAAGTGTTTTCTTCTTCTAATGACAAAATTCCAGCATATTGTGTAGAATTATCAGCTTATAAAGACAATTTAAGTATCAGCATATACAAGAATGTCAGCAAACTATAAAATGTATCAGCATTTAAAGAAAAACTATCGGCATAAAATGAAGAGGAATCAGCATATAATGTCAAATTTTCATTATATAATGAAGAAGTATCAGAATATAATGTTTAAGTGTCAGCATATGATGAAGCGGCAAATCATGTAAAGGTAGTCATACATTATCCTAATTTCAGCTTGGTTGAAATCCATCGTATTTAACACACTCAATTTTAAGTTTCACCTTATCGGCTCTGTTGAAACACAAAACAGGTTCATTATTACAATGAAGCCGTAAATTCATTAAAAAATGACAATCATTAAATTTTTCAAATAATGAGAAAATAGTAGCATATAAAGTTAAGGTATCAGCATATGATGTTAAAGTATCGGCAGATAATGTTAAAGTATCAGCATATAATGTCAAAGTATCATCATTTAATTAAGAAGTATGAACTGAAAATTAAACTTTCACCATGTAATGACAACGCTGAAGCATCAGCGACAAAGCATCAGCATTATGTATAATAAGGTATCAGCATAGAATGAAGTATTAGCATATAATGAAGAAGTATTAGCATAAAGACGTATCAGCATACAATGATGAAGTATCAGTACGTATTTGTCAACGTATCATTATGAAAGGAGGAAGTATAAAACCAACTATCAGCGTTGAATAAACAAGTATCGGCAAATAATCTCGAAATCTTCATGTTATGAAGAAGTATCTGCGTATAATGAGGAAGTATCGGCACAAAAGGAAAAGTAGCATATAAAGACAAAGTATCAGCATATAATGACAAAGTATCATATAATGACAAAATATCAGCATTATCAGTATATAATGACAAAGTATCAGCATATAATGACAAAGTATCACCATATAAAGACAAAGTATCACCATATAATGACAAAGTATCAGTATATAATGACAAAGTATCAGCTTATAATGATAAAGCACATAATGAAGAATTATCATCTCAACATAAACGTTATCCAGAGAAAAAAGACGCGATTAATTTATAGCTTTAGAAGTCCCTTGTGGTTGTTTCCTTGATACAATAACCTATTCAATGCACTCTATAAACTGTTTTGTTTATATGAACTATTTCCCTCACGACAAACCTCGAGAGCTTTTCTGACAATAATTTAACTGTTTATTTACTTGATTAGGAAGAAAGTATTAGTTTGTTTAGATCCGGTTTCTGGATTATCAGGATTTCACACCCACATTTTCATATGTAATAATTGAAAATAAATTCGTATTTTCAACAGTGACTTACTGTATATAATGACAGGCTTACACGCTACAGGTGCACACGTTGCTTCATCTTTAAGGCGTTTTATTGTTTTTTCAACAAAAGCGTTTTCTAGAGCCCTTTGAGATTATTTTAAGACTTTTCATCTTCTCGCTACTAAAACTACGAGGAATGTCACAGACTACAGTAATTAAATCAGGATTATACAACTGAAACAGATTTGTCCTTCAATAATCGGAGAACATTTTACCTTCACATAGGTACAATGGACACGTGTCAGATTATCACTCCTATAGACCCGCAAAAATTTTTCCCTAGTTTTACGGGGGTAGGGTGGGATAAATGAAAAATTTGGTGCTGGATAGTTGTTTTGTTGAGTTATGATCACGTGGTTTATGTTATGAAAGAATACTGACAAGACTACATGTATGTGTAAATCACGAAAGATTAACCAATTTTGGTAGAATTGTTACACAGTGTTTTTATTTTTATAATTATCATTTTTTAAACTTTCCACACAATTTTCATTTTTTCTTCGAAGAGGTTTGACTATGTGTACCAGAAATCCTTGATAAAGTGACGTGTTTGGCAAATTTTGCAAACTGCAAACCATTCAAATGAATTGTTTTATAATAATGCAATAGTAGAATACATATCTAAATGATTAAAGACAAGAGTAATCCCTAATTTAACCTGAATTTTTGAAGAAAGTTTAAAAATCGATATATGCTATTCATTAAAGCAAAGAATTTGCCCAACATGGGATTTCAAACTTACGTTGAGTTTTTCGATTGCAATTATTTTATTATCTGTATGGTTGTTAGCTCATTAGTTGAGCTGTTTAAACTGCTTTTCAAGATTTTCATTTTTTTACTATTTATTATTAATACATTATTATTGATTTCAAGGCCTTCAAATGATATGTTTTGTTATTGGGAAAATCTCTCAGAAGTTATCACTGGTAAGAAAAAAAAGTGATCCCAAAATCTCTCTCTCTCTCTCTCTCTCTCTCTCTCTAGCTTGAAAGGGAGTCTGCAACAAAATTGGCTTGAATTGATTAACAAAAACCAGTTTTATAAAATCTATCAAAAGCTTTCCTAGTACTACCGGAATCCTTATATACTGGAATATTCAGATTTTTTATTACAATATTTGGAATTTCATTTCTGTTCAGGCTAAAGATGTTCAGATCTTTTTAATGGTGTTTTAAATTCTACGAATATAAATCTCATGCTTCATAAATAAATACATTATGTATATTACTTAAGTTTGTATAACACAGTCATACTTAACAAAAGAGTCAATATTTGTTAAAAAAAAAAATCGGTTGCAAAACCTGAAAGTTAAAAAAATAAACATTTAAATAGAAAAAAAGAGCTGGTGGCATGGGTATTCAATAACTATAGAAAAAATGAGTGATGTGACCAGCGTTTTTGGAATTTCCCTAGAATTGCAGCTTATTGATTGATGATTAATTGTGTTTTACTTCCTGAATATATAAAGATTTTTTCGGCTCTATTATTCTCCCAGAAAGGTCGAAGAGGAAAAATCGAAAACATAGCAAAGAAAATCGAACCTAGGAGATGTGATTTGTTGACATGTTACAGTAAATATTTGAAATCAGGAATTTTGTGTATTTCCTAAAACGTTCCGTAAATAAATGTATTTCCTGACTATTTTAAGAAATACTTGTAAATGCTGACAAGGCTAAGAATGACATATATTCACTGAAAATTTTAGACAATTTTACATGTTTTTACTTATCCTTAGTTATAAAACTACCTTGCATATCACTCTTACGATAAGCAGGATGACTACATATATAAAAGCTCAAAGGGAGTTTATTAGTC